GTGTGTGTGTGTGTGTGTGTGTGTGTGTGTGTGTGTGTGTGTGTGTGTGTGTGTGTGTGTGTGTGTGTGTGTGTGTGTGCCAGTGTGCTGGGCTCGTATGCCTGCATGCGGAGGTTGTCTGTGAGTTTTGTGTGGCAAATGTGTGAATGTGTGCGTGTCTGTCTGTGTTTGTTTGTGCGGGTCTCTGTAGGTGTCATTCTGATGGACTGACAGATAGATTCATCGATGAATGATTTAAGGTCTGCTGAGGATTGATCAATGTCTGTTTGACGGACGTTTGCGTGGATGTGTTCAATTCAGTTGATTGACGGACTGATGATTCATTGGCAGATATACGATTTGATCGAATACATCATATGAATGGATGCAACTGAATGTATTTCCACCCGATTTCTTCTGTGATTATCTTTTCGTTTTCCTTTTTGTTTTTCCAAGGATTTGTCGTTTTACGTGTGTCGGGTCCACAAGGGCCACGCCGATCTTCTGTGTATAGATCTCCCAATCTATTTCTCTGTAACTTTGAGGTTCTCTTTATGTTCCTGAAAATGACAGGAAATTAGCGACCAATAGATATTATGAGCAGGGAAATGACCTGAATACAACATGTGCAACCAAAAAAAAACAAAAACAAAAAACAACCTGTTGTCTGATATCATTTGGGTGATTAGGAGATTTGCTCAATGGCCGCACGAGACGGAACGCTCAAAGAGGGTTGCGAGGGAACAAAAAAAAAAAAAAAAAAGAAGGTTTAGACATGCCGTTATCATCTGTGCAGGTGAGACTACACAACTTCGTTCCTTTCATATCCTTGTCCGCTGTCGGTGTCATTTCATCGAAATCCGGTTCGCAGTCCGTGTGTGTGAGAATTAAGACATTGCGGCACTGACAGCTATCTTATGCGGGCGAAAAAGCACTGGCCCACCTTGTTATTATTATTTTTCAAAAAAAGGGCGACGGGCCTTCATTGAACTGACCCCCCCAAAGGCATTTTATACTGTTCATCTGATTCCATATAGATTCGAACCTTGGGTCTGTATTTCAACACTTCATGCGTGTACCAACTGCGCTAGGCCCGTTGGTTGGCTCTGCCACAAGATAGAAGCCGACCGAAAATAAATGACATGCCCTTCTGCATTTTTCCAGACCTGTATTTGGGACCCACTTCATCACAATAACATCAACATCACAATAACATCACAATAACATCACAATAACATCACAATAACATCACAATAACACCACTTCAATTGTCGCTAAGACAAAACACAGCTGGCTTTCAGGAGCACTGGCCAGATGCTACCTGCACAATGCTCAGATTCATTCTTCGGCCGGCTGCCAACCAACCAAAGGGGAAGGGAGGGCCTATACAGCATCCCACCGTGTTCCTGTACAGGAAAGACACCTCTGCATCAAGAATAACTGACTTCATAGAAGACCTTCGTTCAATCAATCGTGGTCTCATGCAAACAAATGAATGAGTCCTGACAACTTAGCAGACACAGCTCATGCCACCGCCGCTATGTAACCGCACACTGATTGACCGCGGGGTCCACGCTCAAGAATCGAGCTCCACTCAATTCCGTGCTCAGAGGGCTCAGGCGCAGGGAAACAGGCAGGAGGGCGAGGCCGTGCGCGCGCACGCAAGAGAGAGAGAGAGAGAGAGAGAGAGAGAGAGAGAGAGAGAGAGAGAGAGAGAGAGAGAGAGAGAGAGAGAGAGAGAGAGA